CTCCCCAGAGCCTGTCCACCATCTACAAGGCACACGTCAGCAGTGTAATAGAATATTCACCGCCACCCTGGATGAGAGCAGCTCCAACAACACAACAGCTTGATACCATCCAGGACAAAAGCAGGCCACTTGATTGGTACCATATCCACAAACATTCACTCCATCCATGGTCAGTAGCAGCAGTGTCTGTCATCTACAAGATGCACTGCAGAAATTCAAAAGATCCTCAGACACAACCACTTCCATCTGGAAGGTCAAGGGCAGCAGATATGGGAACACCACTACCTGCAAGTTTCCCTCTAAGCCACTCACTATCCTGTATTGGGGTCTATCTACAGCAGGGGGTTGAAGCAGTTCAACGTGGCGGCTCACCACCACCTCAAGGGCAACAAATGCTGGCCAGCCAGCGATGCCCACATCCCACACATGAATACAAAAGAAATTTACCAGTTGACATCCAAGTTTCTGTCACAGACAAAGGAACAGAACTGGAGAAAATCCAGCTCGAGTGCCAAAAGACATGACATGAATTTGGTGTTTACAACATAGTGGTGTGACTGATGCAGGCGACCACAGTTGCTCTTTCCACGTGTGGCCTTCTTCCATTATCACACGGTGTTGCTGAACCCAAACAGTTCGCACACAAAAAAAACCAACTTATCTTCAAGTTTCATTAAGTTCAACCATACAATCTGGGGAGATCCGGTCTACTTTGAAACAACTATAGCTAGACACCACTGTGCCATAATTGCTGTATGAGAGTTTATGAAGAAAATCATGATCCTAGACAAACATATCTGCCTGATTGTTCTGATGGAAGTCATTACCCTGAAAAAAAAGTTTCTCAATCCATAGATGATGCTAGATATGTGGAGTATTTCCAGTATTTTGTTTTTATTTTGCAGCATTTTTCATTTGTTTTAAAGCAAATGACACACTTTTGTTACAAAAAGTAATTGGAAAATTTGGCATTTAATCGTATACAATTACATGGATGCCAGACAGCTTCCAAAATGGTGGGTGAAACCTGGTCATGGAAGTCCTACCCACTCCTGGCATGTGCATTTTTTTTTGGAGAAAAATGAGGTGTATGCATGGAGTAATGCACATAAGAGGAAACCCAAACCAAGCAGGGCCATTTGAACTCAGCACCAAGTTCAAATCAACCACATTGTGAGTTAAGTCTTTGTCACAGTGTGCAGGAGTCACAAATGTATTGAGTTTACATATGAGCACTTGAAGAGCAGATTAGGTCTGTATTACTGTCATGTTTAAGTTATTCAAATCCAAAGCTCATTAAAAAATGAGAAAAAAAGTGATTGGGGTTTCAGTGTGAATTAGAAAAATTTGTTCCCGCATTTTCCACAACAGTTTCTTGACAATCTTGCTTGTTACCCCGACTGCCCCATTCTCCCCAAACACACATATATACTGGGATCTCTGAATGCTTGATAAATTTCCAGGAAAAAGACTGGAATTATTTTAGATGAAGATCTGCTCAGGGTGGGTACATAGTGAGTTAGCATGCGGACGTAAGGAACCATGGTGGGGGGAGGGGAAGAGGAGGTAAAAGAGAGAGCGTGGGAGGGAGGAGTTGTCATACAGCTATCAAAATAAAAAGGTCATGGGAGGGAGGTGGGAGTGAGAGCTGACAGCTAGAGAACCTAAGATTTTACGACACAACTGGAATGAAAGGTAGTCTTTTAACTAGCCCTTTGCTATCTTTGTGGTCAATTAAATTCAGCTTCTAAAAAGTACAGTCGTTGTTATCTTGCACCCATACCTTGGAAATTTCCTAACTCAAGCCACATGCCTCAGCGGCAGAAGTACGGGCTGTTCATAAAGAAGCAACACAACAACTGATTGGTGTATATAAAAAGGCACAATAGTTCCACGTAGTAACAGCTACATTTTTGGTGTACATACCCAAGGAAGGACATACCTGCATTCATAAGGAGCGGAAAAAAAAGATCACCAGGTTAGATCTCAGGAAAGGGGATCATTCAATGATATCAAACAATTAGACAAAGTCCTGGAGTTTCGAAAAATAAAGGTGCGATCTAATTGAAACATTGGTGTCAATCTCCTTAAGAATCTTGAGAGAAAGGTTTTGCCTGATTGGAATGTCCAGAAAACTGGGTCACAATGTTAGAATAAAGGGATCAGCCATTTACATGAGGAACAGAAAATTTCTGCATTCAGAACTTTGAAGGATGAGAATGTTTACAGTAGTAAGAAAAATAATTAAGGATGTAGGAATAGCATGGAAAGGTGTAGTTAAGCTAGATCAGTCAGTCAGTCAGTCAGTCAATCTCTTACAGGGTATGGATGTAGGAAAATTAGGCCCTGCGCCTCCAGAAGTGGAGCATAGTTGGGTACAGTGAGGGTCTAGTTTAAAGACCACTTGGCATCCCAGTTATGTTGTAAAATCTTAGGTTCTCAGTCCCAAACCACTTTTTATACCCACATGACAATTCAGAACCCCCACACACCCAGTAGTTTCTTATGTCCCTATTCTAACTCACTAAGTACTCACCTTGAGCAGACCTCAAAGTGCCATTATGAAAACCATTTCAAAGATCTTTCAAACTCAACATCTTAATCTCTTAGGATGCCTGCTTAGGCTTGAAGAGCCAATTTCTGCTCCCATTCATGTTCTTGCAATGTTATGAAAAAGGTATAACTACCAAGTTATACCACAATTAGTGTTTAAACAGTAATATGCCTTACAACACTTGACAAACTATCATAGCCCGAAAGTTCAGAAAATAGTCACATTTGCTTATCAGTTAAGAGATAGAAAACTGAAGCATCATGCAAGATACAATGTGTTTCAATCTCGTACCTGCAAAGATTTGTTGTTCCGTCCCCTGTCAGAAAGCTGTGAACTTGTGGATCGTAGGTTAAGAGATAAACTTCGTGTCACTGAAACTCCAGATGGAGATTTCCCACTTGGCTGCTTGAATGATGCCACCTTGCTCTTAATGTCAGGTGGGCTGCTTTCTGATGGACTTTGTTTTTGTAGCACTTGCTCCCAAGGATCCCCAGCAACAGTGCCTGCGTCTACTTTCACCTCAATATCCGTTGCGCTGTACGACAACTCCAGGTTTTCGATCCTCGCTTTGAGTGGGTCAAGATCTAGCCAGTCAAACTTGCTAACATCGTTTGAGTTTTCACAAACTGGTAACTTAGGAACCATAGTACTGGACGATTCCAAATCATTGCTCGACTTGCTATTTTTCAAGTATTCTGATGTGCTGGCTATTTTATCATATAGCTTTGCCAGTTCAGGTGGTACTGCTGAATAAGGTGGAATAACTCCTGCAGGGCGTACAGGTGTAGTAGTCTGGAGTGGGAAAGGCATGTACTGATGTGCATGAAGGCCAATATAAATAGGCTCTGAAGGTCGGTATGAAGACCGTCCAGGAACAGGTCCAAAACCGTTTTGAAATGGATCAGGCTGTTTAGGGTATGTCACTGGTCTTGCACGATAAGCACTTGTTTGGACCACAGGCCCCTGTATTCCACCTGTCCACTGTCCCCCAGAAAACAGTGCCTGATTGTAAAATGGGCTTGAGAACGATGGACTTACAAGAGGGGTACTTGGTAATGTATGAGGTCGAGTTATTTTTTTAGGACCAAAGTTTTTGTCCAACAACAGTTTTTCCAGTTCGGCTGAAGTTAGATTCTCTATATCTAGGTCAGACAGGGCATCAGCAGCTTGTTTCTTGGAGCTTTCTGCCTCAGGGAAGTGAATAAGATCATATTCCTGGACGGTATTTGGATATTTCTGACATGCATTGCTGGCAGACCTCACCGGATGATCCTCCTTTAAACTTTGGCTTCTCTCCTTCTGCAACCTAGCCAAGGCTTCAGCCTCCATTTGCAGGGCTTCCTCTTTGCCAACAGCTCGTTTCCCAGAGTAACCCACTGTTGCAGGTGCTGACTGTTTGAATCCATTTCGACTGGATATTTGGGCCATGCTGTTAACTGATAGATTCCCATTTATCAGAGCAAGTCCAAGTATTCTTAGCTGGGAAGTCCCCAAAAATCAGAACCTCGAGCTCTAAAAATAAAACAAAGTGGAATTACAAGAAAACAAATTAGAAATGCCATCCACCAATTCAGTATTTAGCCACACATTCAGCAGAGACTAAAATTTACCGACTCCTTATTATGACCTACCAACACATCCATGTATAACAAGATCTCAGTGCAAAATCTTCCTAGCTTCCCAGATTTCTGGTGAAGGAAACTAAGTTACTTGCAACCTTCCCTCAAGGTTCCCAAACTTGTACATCATCCTTATTCAAAAACCTCATTTCAACTATTGCAAGGACAAAAACAATATGCTTCACGATAGAATCAGGCAGGGGCTGGGGAGCACATAAGAGATGAAATTTGGTGCAAAGTATCAAGTAATAAAGGAGGAACAAGGGGCAATGTAAAGTTAATGTTCCAACTCTAAAAAGAGTGGAAGGGCAGAAAGACTGGTTACATAGGTGGACAAATCATTAGTAGCAGGAAAGGTCGAGAAACTCATTAAAATGGTATTTTGGATGGTAAGCTTTATAAGTAGATGCCTGAGGGTAAAGGAAGTTATAAGTAATGTTTTTACAACACTGGATTAGCCTCCACTGGAATATTGTGCTCAATTCTGGTGACTGTATTTTAGAAAGTACGCGAATCAAAAAAGTGTGAGATGAGAGACGAGATGAAGAAAAGTTCATTTATTTAAGAGGGTTGAGAATCCATCAGTGCATTTTTGCTCTTGAAAGAGCGTAAGAAAGAGGAGGATTGAACCCTTAAAAAAAGGGTCCTCGAGTCTACTCCGAGTCAACACGATCATGAACGATCCAACGCAGCCTTAATCAGTTGCCTGCCTGCTCCGCATAACACCTTACAAATCAAAAATCTGAATGCATTGAAGACTGTGATAGACAATGACCAATGCTTTATGTAGCAGAGAATTTCAAGATTAGAAACCAAGCAAGAACTTCATTTAATCCAGAGATGAGAGGGAGAAACCTTTATTTTGAAAATGCTCCTCAAATTCTAGATTCCCCACTCGTGAGATATCCTCTCAACATCTACTACATTAAAAAACCCAATAAAGTAATGTTACATTTTGAGATAAGAAACTCATTTCTCTCATCTCTGATTGGGTCTGTACTCTATCTATTTCAGCCATTCCTCACGTCATTCATTCCAGGAATCTGCCAAATCAAGCTTCTCTGAACTGCCTTCAAAATGAAAATAATGTCTTTCCTCAAATAAAGTGACCCAAACTACATGTAACTATACAAGTATCAAGATTTCCTTATGTTTTTCTTCCATTCACCTTCCTATTAAAAAAAAAGGGCCAGTGTACAGTTTACCTTTTAAATGAAGTTGGTGTATCTGCCTGGTGACATTTCGTTATTCATTTACAATGACACGCAGGTCCCTCTGAACCATAGCTGCAATTCTGCAGTTCCCCTTTTACACAAATAACTGATTTTCTTTGTTTGAAACAAGATGATTGATAGCCCATATTAACATAAACATCATTTGTCCAAGTTAAAATTACTACAATATTGTTCCAATTGAACAGTCTAACACAAAAGACAAATAAATACAATCATTAGGACTTTGCATGATCAGCAAGATTAAACATGGAGACCTCATCGCTAGTTTTTCATATCAGTTTATTACAGCTGATCTAACAGCAGCTGAGATGTTAGATTCATCTGTAACAGTTTTAAAATTGTTAAAATATTCTGTCCATTTACCTATCTAAAGCTTAATATTGAGATCAATTATAATAATTAACAGTTCAAGCCATACAAGCATAAAGCATTTATTACAACAATAAGCAACTGGTCAAAAATCAAAGGTGATCAGGTTTTTGCTCAATCTTCGGCTTCATTTCCCAGATAATGGCCAGTTAAAAGTAACACTAGTTCAGAAGAGAGCAGAGGCTTGCCTACAAAGTATTTACTTTGTTGTACTAGGCCAGGCAATAGAGGGGAAAAAACAAATTTGGAATAGGATACTGACGTGGTGTCTACGTCGCAGCCAAGCACCAGATAAAATACAATAAACTCAAATCAACAACGACCAAAAGAGAAAATAAGAAAAAAGGTCTATCCATCATATTTGTACCAGGCAAATAATTTAGCATTTTACATCTTTTTGATAGTAACACAGGCCCCTCATCAGATCTGATTATTAACTAAAATTTATCCCACACAAGATATTAAATGGAGATGCTGCTGCCAAGATTTTTTAATCTTTGCTCCCAGGCAAGTTAAAATGACCTGATCTAGTTGGTGCACAGTAGTAAACCTAGAAAGCCAAATATATTATTCTACACACATTCAAAGAGAAAACCCATGAGCCAACAAATGCTGATGCACATTCTATTACAAATATGGAGGCCATCCTCAAGAGACTGGCCATAGGAAAGACCTGTATTTCTACACTTGGGGAAACAAAGACTTGCCATTGGCATAGTCATGGCTTAGTCATATTAAGTCTGTGCAACAAATTCACTGTCACTGAAAAAAATGCATCTATCATTTTCACAGCTGGAGTATTCTATTCCAGAGATTGAGTATTTACCCCTGGCATACATTGTGCGTGCAAACACACGAGGTATTTCAAACATGGAATTTACACCTCAGCAACAGCACTGATTGAAGACCGAGAATACAAGCTTGGTATGGCTTTAGACCTACAAATATTCCTCCTGAACCAAAACAAAAGTAGCTAAGCCACCATCTAATTGTTACATATGGGATTTTGCTATGTGTAAAATAGCTGTTGTGTTTGGCTACTTAACAATTCAAGCATTTCAAATGAGTTTTTTTGGAAAAAGAAACATTGAACAGTTCAGAGAGAATCATACAAAACCAACAAACCTTCCTTTCAGATGTTGTCAAAATGTTAACCACCAACTTCCATAGTTAGGAACTTACACATGAATAAAAAGAAGAAACAAACATTGACACGTCACCCAGCAGTTAGGAGGCAAAGCCCAGATGGCGTTTACAATGTATGGACAAAGTCCAAACAGCATCTTATTTGCAGGGCTAAGCCTGTAATAATTACCAGCAAAATACAGTTAATGCATAGCCTTTTTTGAAGTTTTATTTAATACAGCACCCAGCCTGTACTTAAATACCTAGATTGAAAAGAAAAAAAAAGTCTGCAGAGAAAGTTAAAGTTAAACAAATCTCTGGGATTGTCATCAAGAGGCGACAGAAGTTCATGACTTTGATGGACAGAAATCCAATCTGCAACTATACAATAATTTTCCATTAAGTTTTTTTTTGAAATCACAACACAAAATGAATAAGATGAAATGGGGAGTACAAGCTGGTAGTTTCTACTCAGTCCTAAATGCAACATCTTGCTGCTGCTGAAAATACTGCTTTCGACTAAATAAAGCTTTAGAAAACACTTGCCATGTTCATGTTAGCCTGGCATTATTGGTAGCACTTTCACTTCTGTTAGAAAATAGTTTCATGGCCACTTCAAGTCTAATCTAGCATAAAAGGCCAAAGCAAAGCAGTTCTAACCCTCCTAATAATGACATCCAATATGATTTTATTCAAATAAACCTTTAGGTTGTTCCAAGGTTATTTCAGCATTCCTTTATGAAGCACATGAGCAGGTTGTGCAGATGGTTTTCATTCAACTAAGAGGAACTGATCAAGAGATAAATTACTGGTTGTTGTACATTGTTTAGTCTATCCTTGGAGAGATTACCAAGACATCTGTATGTTCAAACAACTGCTTTATTACATTCCAAAAGAACTGTATGCAGCTCAACATTAATAGGTCTTACATTGCTGAAGTCATGAGCATTCTTCCTCCAAATCTCAGTTGTGAGGAAAGGTATGGGCATGTACCTGGTCTTACAAGCCATTGTTTTATGGCTTAAATGGGGATACTGGTTGTTCTTAACTTTTTGACAATCCAGTGCTTCTAGCCCTGGAAGTTTTGTGATGTTCCGTGCGATGAGTTTCCTGCTCATTAAAAGTTTTGATACTGTCTATTCACAAGGCACTTCAAAAATCAAAGAATCTGTCTGCACTGTAGGGATTCTATTTGGCCGATCAAATCTGCACCAACCCTCCAAAAAGCATCCCACCCAGAACCATCCTATGCATCGACCATAGCTAAACCACCACTAGCCTGTATGTCCCTGGACCCGCTGCGGCAGCTTAGCATGGCCAATCTACCTAACCTGCACATCTTTAAACTATGGGGGGGGAGGGGGGCATTCGACTCCTTTCACAGACCGAATCGTCTAAACAACAGATAGAAGATTTTCACTTAAAATTTAGGACAGAGAAGGACACTTTAAAAGAAAATGAGAAGGTCATGAGGTTGTGTATTGTACCAAGAGAGTTAGTAATTTAAACTAATTTAAGAATAACAAAAAACTTATTAGACAAGAAATAGCAATTAAAAAGTAACAGGAAAGGCATTTGGTATATTAGTTTTAATTGTAAGTGGAATGGACTGCAAAGTACAAAATGTTTTATATAATGGTTCAGAGTAGTTAAATCATATTTAGAGAAGCACGTTGGGTTTTAGTCTCCTTTTTTGAAAGCAATGGAAGGATTTACTTGTATTACAACCAGTTCAGAGTTAATCCACTAGACTTATTCCTTTGATGAACAGGTTGGGCCTTTAGCCATTGGAAGGTGGAAGAAACTCAAGATTTTGAGGCGGCTTCACAGGGTAGATACAGAAAAGGATATTTCCTTTTGTTAGGGAATCCAGAACTAGGGGATAGATTTAAGACTAAGATGGGGTTACAAGATGGGGAGGAGGAGAAATTTCTTCTTTCAGGTGTTCATTAATCTTTGGAGTTCTTTACCCGAGAGAGCAATATAGCCTGGGTCAGTGAATATATTCAAGACTGGATGAGACAGATGATTTTTCTTTGATCGAGAGAGTCAATTAGGGATGAGCAACAAATGCCAGCAATGTCCATTTCACATGAGGGATTAAATAAATAGATTAATAATGTTTAGGGGTTGGAAGTAGGTAAATGGCGTGGAGATCACTAAC